TGAGATCCGGCAATGTGAGACCTCCTACTTTGTTTTTCTTCTTGTAAATGTTTTACTTGTCAATTTATTTCATTACTGCTAGCAGTGGGGCTTCATTTTTCTCTTTATTGCTTTTTCCCATCTTCAAGTCTATTGTCAGAAATATTTCACCATCTTAATTAAAACTGAAATCAGGAAAAAGAGAAGAAATCCCTAGTAGTGACTCACACATAGCTCATGCTACTGTGCCTCCATCTTTACAAGCACATTTGAGGACTATTCTCCAAGCCCCGAAATATCATGTATGTTAGTAAATTATAAAGGCAAATGAGCATGCTTTTTCACTTTCCTAAAGGAAGCAGAGATATTTTGCCATAGTCATATTAGCCTTATAGATCTCTGAGCAAGAACAGGCTAGACCACTTTTCACCCTTGTCCCTGGGGCTTGTCCTGTCTCCCCACATTGCCTTTATTGTCACCCTTCCCCTCTCTGGTGCTCCTCTTTCACCTGGGTCCTGGGGTTGTCACTGGCTCATTGTTGGTCCCACTCTGGCCCCTTCTGTGCCTTTACTAATTTTCCTCTCCCTTATTAACAGCTCTAACTCTGTCATTACCTCATTAGATTGATTCACGGATGCAGGGCAAGCAATGCTTGGAGCTTACAAAATGGATTTGAGATGTGGGGTTCAGCCTGTGGATCATAATGAATTCTTAAACTATATTCAAAGGTTTTTTTTATTTTTAAAGAAACTTCACTTTAATTCTAATAATGAATGTTGTGATTTACTCTTCCTCTTCTCGATACGAAATGCGTGATGAAGATAAAGAATCTGGGTCCTCTTCCCCATGGAAGACATTGGTGATGCCTTTCAGAACAGGAAAGTGGGTACAGAATTGTCAGAAATGGAAGCTCACTTGACAACTGACCATATTTTCCTCTTCTCTTGTAGCCTCCACGAACATCTCATCCTGTTGTGAGGTTCTCCTGTGTAGATTGTGAGCCAATGGTAATAGACAAACTTCCCTTTGACAAATATGAACTTGAACCTTCACCTTTAACTCAGTACATCTTGGAACGCAAATCTCCCCATACCTGCTGGCAGGTACTTATCCTTACCTGGTGTTCAGAGGTCTGCAAACACTCTTGCATCTGGAAATTTTTTCTTTCTTTCAAATTTTTATTGTGAATTGGGTGAAAATTTACAGAGCAAATAATTTTCCATACAGCAGTTCATACACATTTTATTTTATGACATTGACTGCAATTCCCTACAGCGAAACAGCTCTCTTCCCACTTCCTCCCTGTAGTATAAACAGGGCCAAGCCAATCCTTCCAGGCTGA